CAGCGTCCGAGGGCCGGGCCAGCATCCGGGATCGCTGCAGCGCCACGTTGTAGTCCGGGGGCTTCCTGGCGGGATGGGGATGTCCTTCTGGGAAGTCGGTGATGGGGATTCCGATGTAGCCTGGAGGGGTGGGCGGGGGCTCTCGATACCTGCCCTCCTTTCGCGCTGCAGTGGAGACAAGGCACCAGCCATTACAAAATGCTCTGGAAGGGGGCTTCACGCCACCAACGTCCGTAAACACCTATAGAATTATTACTAAGACAGCACGCAGTGTGACATGAGACAGAGATGGGCACGGGGCCGGCGGGGGAGTGGACGCTAACAAACCAAACGCTCACAGTGGTTTTCTCCGCGTGGCCAAACAATGGGCGAGAGGAGCTGCCAGGCAGTCTCGGTACTTTAAGTCAACTACTTCAAGACTTGGCTTAACTATAAAATAGCAATAAGGGTAACACCCATCCCTTGGGTTTATTGGAAAGATTAAGCAAAGAGAACATAAAAGGTACCCAGTACTATGCCTGCAACTTGCTGGCAGTGCCTGGTAAACGTTCCTTCCTCTCTCCCTGCCCCGGGGAGCAGGCAGGCGGAGCCTCTCTCTGCTGGGCGGTTTCCCTTATCAGGCAGAGAATAATTTCACATTACTTCAGGTCTTGGGCCCACTTTGGAACACAGTGAATTAAAATACTTTTCTAAATATAGTCCCATCATGTTTATTTTACACTCATCTAGTAGGTCAGTAGTGGCAGCCAGGAGCTACGGGCACTCAGAAGCATCTCTCAAAGCAAAAGCCCAGGGGCGCTTGACAGCGACGCCATCTACCTGCTCTCAACTGTCAGATCAGCTTCTTTGACCTAGAAATGCTAATAATCAATGAAAAAAAAACCAACAAAGTCCTTTGCTTAAAAAATAAAAAATTGGAAAAGTGGCACCAAAAATGATGCAAATTTAAAAACTCTAAAACTATGTGTAAGGTATGTAGTTCTCTTAAAATCCTGTGATTAATGTTCATGACCTAGATAGAACATGAAATCTGTAAAGGCGAGTAAAAGCAGTTTTATTTTCTTGAACTTTCTAGACTCAACTGTTAGGAACTAAAAAATCATTTTTCTTTCCTTTGCATTAAAAAGTCTGAGTATTAGTTTGCTAAAAGAAAGAGTTTTAAAATTTGCAACCTAAGAACAGGTATTAATAGTTATCTCCTTATACATTTGAAAAGGATATTAAATTTGACATCCACCCATGACTATTTACATGGTAAATAAGTACAGTTTCCCTACTAATAAAAGTGATGTTTCTAATGATTACACTCTGGAATTTCTCACTCTCTATTCAATAATGTGTTTCTATACTTCGGTTGTACACACAATGAATATACCACAGAAAATTCATCTCAAGGGACTGGGGGAACATGAGACACTTCACAACAGAAGCAGCAGCAAAGCAATAGCATCTTTCACTCACTTATCAGTTGCTATCTGGGAGCTATTCCAAGTGCTTCGCAGAGAATTCCTTTAATCCTCACACCAACTGTATTAGTAGAAATTACTAAACTCATTTTACAGATGAGGAAACAGACAGTTCAGTGCATTGCCCAATGCCACAAAGCTAGAAAAGGAGAACACCGATTCCAACCCCAATCCGCCTGACTCTTAAGCTCTTGCTCATTACGTTCTCTCTTAGCACCCTCTCCCTCGTTCCGTAGTGCAGAGAGAATCTGTTTAGCACAAAAATAATCTGTCTGCATAACACAATCAAGAAGATTTTTAAATATGCAAAGTATAAAGTTCTAAGTACAATTCAAGGGAGCAAAAAAGAATAATAAAATATTTAAAAGCTTCAATTAAAAATTCTTCCTCTACAGAGAATGGTCATCCTTCTTGATAATTTTCAGCTAAAAAGATCAATATGAGACCAGAAAATAACCATAACGACAACCTACTGATTCCTGATTCTGATAGCCAAGGAGCACGGCATGCACACTACGCTGGAAAATAATGATATGCACCTGACCACAGGACCTGCGCTCTTAACCACAGTTCATTTCAAGCCTTATAAGCAATGGAGGAAATGAGGAAAAAGAACCACAAACACGATTTTACTTTTGATATGTTAAAGCCACGATCCAGACATGATGATCTCCCCCATAATCTTACCAATAAGTCCCTTTGCAGTAGTTGATGTCACAGCTATATGGGCAGGCATGGGGACAGGCTTGGTTTCCTCTGTGGTCACAGACGGCATGCTGCTGCTTTCGGCTTCAATGGAAACATCTTTGCCACCCCTTCGCTTTATTGTCCCTGTGTCACCTTCTGAGTCTTCTCCCCAGTAGCCTGTGGAAGAGGCCCAGCTTGCCCGAGACTGGGCTTGTTCAAGACTCTCTCTACTTTGATTTTGCCTGTTATATTTTGTGCTATGATCAGAAAACATGATTTGGTCCATATGGCTGCTTGAGGCCCATACACTTGCAGGATCTCCTGAATAATCAAAGTGAGTGTGCCCTAATGGAAGTGTCTCCCAGCTTCTCTGGTGCTGGATGGTCTGTATATTATCATGGGAACCACTTGAGCACGAGGTCCAACTCCCACGGCCACTGTCGGCAGCATCGAGTGAAGCGCGATCCCCCTGGTCTTGGGACAGCTCCTCTGTGCTTGGAGAAGAAATTACTGTCGCTGTAGCGTATAAGCCCCGACTCTCGGACACTGGTGCGTAGGACCTAAGTGGTCAAAAGAAATGGAAAAGAAAAAGCAAGATTGTCAACTAATACACTTATGGTAAAACCAAAATACTTTTTCCTAGAAAGGTGGCTCTCTTTCATTCCAGGGATAAGATGAAAGCATCACTGGACTACATGACAGGGGCCAGTTCTGCCCAATTTTCTCACCTTGCCATCACCATAAAGTAAACACAGCAGGAAAAGAACAATTACTTGCTTAGAATAAAGGAACATTTTCCTTACAAGGCTCAATCTAATCTGAACATTTCAGGAAGGCAGCTCATGCCAAGGAACTGAGGCACACGCTAAAGCCACCCTGCCTTCAGCACAGGACAATGGCGTTCCAGTAAGAAAAAAACCTAACTCTGAGAGCACAGCAAAAACAGCATGAAAAAGCACAACAGAAATAGCCGGGCACTTAGTAATCCAGATCCTGTGAATACCAGTCACTGGCAAGGGAGAAAAGTTCTTAGGCATTATGTAAAATAAATGGAAATACGCATCTAGAAAAAAGGACTCATTCTTAAGGGAGGAAAGAAAGGATGTAAAAGAGCGCTCGAGAAAAGGTGCCTACCCTAAGCTGTACTGGTCGGGCTCAATCGGGGTCCTCCTCTCCGTCCTGCTCACGCCTAGGTTTGCTTCCACGATGCTGACAGAATGCCTCTGGCGCCTCTCATCATGCAGCGAGACCGGCACCGAGTCAAAGGAAGAATTGCTGACAATGCTGGATCGTGAAGAAATTTCACTGTGACCAGAATCTGAAAAATTATCCACAGTACCGCTGGGAGCCAGGGTGTAGCCTGCATGGGAAAGACAACCATATTAATTAGACGCTGTAGGTTTATAACATAAAACCAGAGTCTCCGAAACAAAAGCGAAAACCAAATGTAGGCCAAAGAGAGCAATACCAAAGTGAGGAAAAATGCATTTTACTTGTGGAGAGCAGGCGACTGAGACAAAGTAAATTTATACTAGAACGAAGCTTAACTTGCTTAATGAAAGATTAGAGGAAAAAAGAAAACCCTGCTATGTGAACCAGGAAATAATGCAGAAATCATGGTGCTACTCGACTATTCTTAGCTCTCATAAATACAGATTAAACTACTGTCAGTCTCTATAGAAGAAACTATGAAGAATAACTATGGTCAGATTTTAAAGTATATTTTTTGCAAACTGCCAAGTCAGTAATCTTGTTTCCAATTTTCAGAACTTTACAGCATAGAATAATTCAACTGGAAATATTTATAATTTTAAATGGACAAATAAGAGTAAGGAATAAAACCTGAAAAAATATCTTTGGGTTTCTGTCACTTGGTTTTTTAACATTAATAATATATTGGACAAATCGCATAAAAGCCAGTTGTTTTAAAGGATGTAATGTACAAAATCTCCACTTTCACCCTAGACGTTACTTTAAAATGTCTAAACAGATGTCCACATCTTGACCTAAAGAGCCCTTAAATTCCCTTTGTTGCTAAAAATAATTTTTGAAAGTCAGAAAAGAGGCCTATCTTGGATATTTTTAATAATAAAAAACAACCACCCCAAATCTTCTTTCTCAGTATTCATTTTTACAACATTACTAAGGATCTCATATTACTTAAAATATTGATTTTACATAATTATATGTATGCAATGCAATTTTCGAATGCCACTTATCTACTAAAAAAGTTAACTCTAGAGCACCTAAATGTTGCTAAATTTATTCTCTAAATAGTACTTCCCTGTTCTTTCAGTAACTTGTTAATTCCTGATTTACTTTTTAAAGGTTGCACAGGTCTTGATAAGATTTAATGTGTTCATCTATGAAATGTCTTTTTATAAACCACACTACAAGTTCTGACAGACAAGATTTAAAACCTCCCCTGAACAGCTTGCTCAAAAAAAACCCCCCAAAAAAAAATCTCATCATCACTCAGACGGAGCACTTGACATTTAGAGGATTCTCCCATTTTCCGTAACCACTGAGATGATTCCTCTCTTTCCCGCCCCGCTTTTGGTTCTATAAACCCCACCTATCCCATAGGTCCGAGGTGCATTGTTATTCTTGTTACTGTTCTCACTTCCAAGAGAAGAGGAGGAACTGGTTAAGTCCAACTGCCCGGAGCCAAAAGATCTCAGCTGATTGCCACTGCCACCTGACAACGGGACGAGAAAAGAATTCAGATCCGTTTAACAAGAACAGTAGAGGCTGATGCCCACACAAAATGCACAGACGTCTGAAATGTCTAAAAAGTAAAGCAGAGAGGTACTTGTTGATTCAGTGAAATCTCACAATTTATTGATCTTTTGGGGCCTCCTTCTTGGGGAAACGGTCTTAACCATTTATTATTACTAGTTTATACCCATTCAATTAAAGGGCAAGAGAAGAAAGTAGCCTGCAGGGCTATGTGGCAGATCTATTATTCTAATATAAGAAAGCACCGATGGAAGGAGGAGGATTTGACTGCCTAAAATTTAATCTTTTTAAAAATAAAAAGAGGTAGCAACACAGAAGGTAATCAAGACCTGTGTTAATACAACGAAAAAAAATAAATCAGGAAGGCATAAGTTTTTCTTATGTTTTTAAAGCTCTCTACTCTGTAATTAATGTTATATAATCATATTTAGTTAGAACAGCTTTTAGTACAAAAATTATTTCCACACTTACAATCAATAAAAAATTTAAATATATTTTTGGAAGGCTTTATATATACAGTTATAAGTTTAAAACGACTTAGTATAAGATTAAAAATAAATGACTCTACTGTATAACCTAAAAAATGATATATATAACTCTGGAATTTATTACAGCTGAAAAGTATAGATTGCTATAAAGAGAAATAATAAGTAATTTAATCTACCTTTCCTTGGAGAACTTTGAGGAGAAGTGGGAGGAGAAGAAAGCTGTGAAGATGCATTTGATATCGTATCTTCTGCTTGTTTCTTGTGACGCTCCAGACTGCCTTCTTCAGACAAAGAAAGAATTTTCTTTAAAGCTTGTGGAGAGTTGATGCCTTTAAGAGAAAGCAAATAAATAAGTTAACCTTTTTTGTGTTAAGATTTAATATTACATTTAGATTCAAGCTTTTACAATTTCAATGGTCTTTGTACTCTTCACAGTATGGACCATAAGCTTATAGAAGACACAAGATACCTCCAGTTTGGTTTCTGACTGATATCTGCCAGAGCCTAGAAATGGACTGTTTTTGATATTTTACTTTAGGTTCTAAATCTTAATGTAATCACCATCTTTATTCAGCAATATGTTAGACAACAATAATTAAAATATATATATATATATTTATTACTAAGAAGTGAGGTCTGAGTTGGAAACAGGTATTTTGATGTTGTTGGATATGTTAGCTCAGGGAAAGTGGAACGATGAGAGAAAAGTCAAGAGCCAAGAGCTAAAAGGTTAAAGTCCTAAAAAAGCAAATGAGAAAACTCTTAAGGAATTCCATTCAGTTAATATTTGCTCAAATAAATAGATGAAAGAGAAAGCAGGAGGAGGAGACCCACAGACACCACAGAGGAAGGTTCACAGAAGGTCAAAGGGAGTGACCCAGTGCCATCTGGGATCAAGTAAAATGAGGGCTGGAAAAGAAAGAAGGATTATACATGTCATTATACAGTGATTTTTTTAAAAAGAAACATTTTAGAAATGAGGGAGTCACATTAAAATATTTTACAAAGTAAATGTTATGAGCCACTCTCCATGACCGAATTTTGAACAACAAAAAGATACTTGGGAAGGCATCATAGACTGAAACTATCTCAGTAAAATGCTAGTTTTAATGTTCTTAACAGAATCCATTAAAAAGGAAGCAATGAAATTTAACAAAGATTTAATTCATTTCACCTCATGTGCTTATGTTGTTTTAATACAATCTTTTAAATCACCTTTAAGGCAATATTTTAATTATATGTATAGATGCTTAAATACACAGGATGCATGAAAATCTGAGCTACACTGAAGCTTTATAAGTAAATAGTTTTGATTTTGAAAAATTTCCAAGGCGAGCATTATACACAGATTCAAAGAGCGTTGTCTTTTGAACAGTATAGATGAATGTGAGGATGCTATGCCTTAGAAAACTGTTCCAGTTCAAAAGTGGGTATAGTGATGACAAAAACTCTAATTTAAAAATGCAGAAAGGGCCTGGCTATCGTGGCTCAGCAGTTGAGCATCGGCCTATGATCCAGGTGATATTGGCTCGATTCCCGGTCAGGGCACATGCCGGGGTTTCGGGCTCGATCCCCAGCAGGGGGGGCATGCGGGAGGCAGTCGATCAATGACTCTTCATTGATGTCTCTCTCTCTCTCTCTGTCTCTCTCTCTCTCCCCCTCTCCCTTCCTCTCTCTGAAATCAATAAAGATACATTTTAAATTAAAAAAAAAATGCATGAAGTATTTAGAACAAAATTATTTCATGAATTAGAGTGGGGGCAGTTCAGCATCTTTAAATTAATATTTTATTATTATGTGACTGAATATTTATGTCAAACTAATTATCATAAGACACATGACTATCTCATCCACATTTTTAAAGTTCATAAATTCAAATAGGCCTAAAACATTTTGAGAAATACTCTCTCTGGGAAAGTGGGGGATAGTATTTTATATATTCAGGCACATCTATATTTGGGCTAATAGGTTCCATTTTGGTAAAAGGAAGAGTGATAAACTGCTATATAAGTTCAGTGTAAAAGAGGAAATAGAAGTCAGATTGCAGGGGATTTAGGAATATATGAGTAGCAATAAGACAGTGGACAAGAAACATGAAATTCAGGTTGTTTGTGACAGGGGCAGCAATCCAAACATTTATTTGAGAGGGAAAATGTCAAGTAAAGGTATTCTTTTCTCAATCTTCCCCAGACTCTAAGGATAGGACACTTGCTGATCCAAAGGATTGGGCCAAAGGATTTACTATAAAACTCTTGCCCAACTCATAAAGACAGGTTGTAATGGGGCAGGAACTATCCTAGTTACCAAAGCCCTATTTTATCTAAGTAAACTCTTTGCTACTAGTTTTCAAAAAAATTTTTCCTTTTATTAATATTGTTTCCTTTCTTTCATATATATATATATATATATATATATATATATATATATATATGGGAACCAGCATATTTTATGCAAAATAATTTTGGCTGTTAGGAGGTATTTTTGAGTTTGGTGAGTGGATATCATGAGCAAAAAGCTCACCCTCCCGAGTTAAAAAAAAAAAATTTATGGACAAAACTAGTTTAGGTAATCTATATGGACAAAGCAACTTCTGTACTCATTAAAAATTAAATTAGTAAAAGCATAATTTCCCCATTCCATGCCCCCATCCTCCACTATGACAAATGAGCACAAGTAAATGAGATACTCCATCAAATCAGTACCTTCTACCGAGAAAGGTAAAGTTTAACTTACTCAACATTGATGATCTATTAAGAGGTAATAATCAGGGAGAGACTCGAGAATATTAGACAAAGTTATCCAAGACAAGCATTTTACCCTAACCTGAAAATCATGACAGTGAATAGCAGCAAAGAGAACATGAATTTAGTCACCTACCGAAGGGTGGAAGGTCCTTCACGGGCACCTTCTTTCGTGAAGGATAGAGGGACACAGCGGGGACCTGCAGCCCTTGGTTGGCTTTATGTGGTGGTTGTGGCGGCTGGGGCTGGGGCTGGGGCTGGGCTTTCTGCTGTGACCCTGCCCTCGGGGCCACCGGGGAGGTCTCAGTTTTGACAGGCTTTTTGTCACCAGGATTCTTAGGCACTGATAATTTTTTGGTTTGAAAATAAAACAAGAAATTTAAGATGTTAGTAGCTACATACAAGATAATTTTAGAACTACGTGAGTGTTTTCTGAAGGCAAGATCCTAAAATGTGTCTTTTTTTTCCTGTTGTCTACGTAAAGGACAGATATGGGGGCAGGGGGAGAACCCTAGTTACAGAAAATATTGAAGGCATAACAGGGAAAAGATATTTACCTTATGAAACTAACTATCTCAAAAGATGATTCTTCTATTAAAGACCACATTAAAAATTGAAAAATATGGATAATTCAACACATCATGTGTGTGTATATTAAAAACACACACAAGTATATCATAAAAACTACAACAGGAAAATTGTTAGAATTATGTTTCTAAAATGGTGTTCAAAAGCCCGTGGCATATATGAGCTTAGTTTTTACTTAATAAATGCTATTAACTATAATCTTTTTACTCTCACATTCTCTCTTCTATGGGGTAGAACTGTGTTAGTTAAGAGCAGCCAATGCTGCCTGAATACTATACTGAGTGTATAATTTCATGGCAGATAAAAAGCAAACCAATTTAATAGGGCAATTAAATGCTGTATGTATCATGCATTAATATTAAAAGCAACTCGATGACATAAGTATACTTCCTGCAATTCACCCATAAAGAAGCTAAGGATTAGGGAGCTCAAGGAACCTACCTAAGGTGACCTTGCTAGGGAGAGGGGAGAACAGGATGTGAACTCAACCGATCTGACCTCAGAGGAAAGGCTCTTCATCAGGACCCACAGAGCTTCCATAGTGGAGTGCCTGGGTAAGCCTGAATGACTTGAATTCTCTCAAGTCACCTACATAACATTCATATTCTATAGACGGTATCTTCAAACTTGCCCATAAAAGACCGAGCCATGCCCCAAATATAAAATGCCTCTGTCCTACAGATATACAGGTGTCCCCCCAAAACTGTATATACACTTTAACAGCTAATAGCTCAATTTTAAAAATGAAACATATTTTAACAAACATTGACTTTATAATTATTGCAAGTACGTGCATACATTTTTTGGGGGGACACTCTACAGATGCAAATAAAGAGAAAACTGCCTCCATTTCCAGCCTGGCCAGATTTTTTAAAGGCTGGGAAGCCTCACATTAGGCTGAGCTGTAGTTCACTGTGCAGCAGAATTAGAATTACTGCTTTACGTGGTGGCTGAACTTAATGCTGGGTGCCGTCTGGGCAGAGGGGGTAAAAGGCGGCCAGCATACCATACTTAGTTCTGCCCCGCTCTGACCTGGTGGCCCCTCACCCCTCTCGGGTTGCCCATCCCTTTGGAAGCATCTGTGAGAACACAAGGGGTGCAAACGCGAGACCCACCCACCCACGTGTCCCTCGCCTGCACACTGGCTGTGTTGGGATGAAGCCCAAACAACAGGCATCCTAAGTAAGCCTGTGGTGTCACCCTCCCCACACTAACCCAGCTGAATTCTCTCCAGTCCCCTACGTAACAGATGGACGCGGGGCCCAGCCTAGGACAGGGCTGCAGGGTGCTCCACGGCAGCACCCAAGGCGTGTCAGGAGGCTGCTTCCCGCGTGCATTAAGCCCCCCTTTGTCACCCCCGGCCACGGCACAGGAGGCGAATCTGCACCCCCGCCAGATCCCGCAGCACCTGACGGAAACACTCACGCGTGTTGGTGGCTGGCTCACACTGCAGGGACAGTGTCTGAAGGCTCTCCTCATCCATCTCTAACTCCAAGTTGGACAGGTACTGCTTCACTTTGCGAGCCATCTGGGCATCTTCGTAGAGCTTTTTGGCATTGAGAAAGGAACTACGGCGCACGCGCTTTTTATGACCACCTGTCTGAGCAACGTCTAGCACCGTTGCGTTTGTACTACCCTGGCTGAGGGACCTGGAAGACGAAAAGGCAGATATGCAGCTCACTCTAGCATGGGGTTCCTTTACCTCTGAAACGGGCTAAGACTTACACAAATATTCTATGTTCAAAAGGTCACATGCTTTATTCTGGTAAGTAAACTGATACAAAGGAATACAGAATAATATGAATTAATTTTTTTAAGTTAAAAAAGAATCCTGCATATATACATATACATGTTTGGTGCCTGTTTCGTTCCAACTAGGAAATTCTACTTTTCACATCTACAGAGCATTCAAGGCAGTTCTCTCATAAAAGCCAGCAAATGATAATATAATAATAACTAGATGTAAAAGCTCATGCAAGAATACAGTTATAATTAGGATTTACATTAAACTGACTTCTCCTACAAAGGGTGTTTTACATAAATTAAAAAAATTAGCTAGATGTTTACAATTGTTTTCTTATTCCTTGGGTTAAATGTAGTGAGTTTCTAAAGTAATATGGTCAAACTGTTAATATAATGGTCATGCAAATGTAAACATATATGTATAGAAACTAGCACATGAATTGTTAAGAATTATTTTTCAAAAGAATTGGTTTATAGAATGAAAACAGTAGTTAGTTAAGCTGTAAAAAAATTTAGTTTTAATACCTAGGGGCAGCTTTTATATCACATATATTTACTTCTCAAATATCTGTGCAATGGAATTTAAATTGCACAATTTTTCCTCCTCACATCCTTCCTCCCCTCACCCCCCTTTCGACTTTGCCTATTTCAAAACACAGAAATTATGTTAAAATAAAATCTTTCTGAAAGCTCAGAAGTATGTCTGACCTACAGTTCCCCGGAACAATCATCAGTCATTTCACAGCTCTCATGGATCATGACCTCAAAAGCAAAAGCCCCAACAGATTAAACTGGAAGTCAGTTTGCCAACGGAAATGCTGCTAGAGCGAGAGGGTTAAGAAAAAAATGCAAAAATGCAAAGCATCAGAAAATACAGCAGGTAAGAAAACAACGCCATGAACAGAATAAGAACTGAGTGTGGGTATGCAAGTCTCCACCACTTACCCCAGACTCCTCCACTTCTTCTTCCTGTAAGTGAGAGCCATGGAGATTGAAGCATGGGTGTAGAAAGAGAGACAGAAAGATCACAAGCTCAGAAAGAAAGGACTAGACTTCTGAATAAGCAGTACAAGAAGCCCACAAACATTAAACTGCATAGTCACCTCACACACACAACCTGACCAGAAATATCTACGTGGCTCAAAAGACAAATGTATTTGAATTTTTTGTTCTCAAAGGAGACTGACTCCTGTTGTCTCCTCCACTGGACTGATCATTTTTGACTATGCTGACAGCTAAATCCATTGTGTGCATATTGAAACAATACTGTTTGGGTTATTTACATACTTTAGTTCATACCAGCAACTATGAGTTTTAGCTCAACAAGTGATTGTTCTGAAAAATAAGGAACAAATAATTGTGCCTCATGTTAAATGAAAAATGTTGAAGGACAAACTTTATACTGGCAGTCAAAAGTGTTCCCAATACAGAATAAGACATTTATTCCACATTAGAGCTTAATGGAGATTCTCTGCATGACCTAACAGAATTTCTGCCAAGCTACAAATATAAATATTCAAAGAAAATTCCTCATTTATTAAGAAGCTCTAAACTCAACCTTCTCTAACCCCGCACGTGCCACTGAAGGTGACACACTCACCGAGTCCGGAACATGAGGGCAGGGTCCATGTTAACCGAAGCCATTCGGCCAACATGACGAATTTCTTTTGCAATCATCCTTAGCTTCTCAAAATTGACAAGCCCGTCAACTTTCGAGTCATTTCCTATCATTGGAAAAGAAGAAAAAGGGAATCACATGGCAGTTATTCTTTTTTTAAATTGAATTATATTATTTTTCAATTATAGTTGACATTCAGTATTATTTTATGTTAGTTTCAGGTATACACAGCACAGTGGTTAGACAATTATAAATTCACAAAGTGATCTCCCCTGATCATTTTAGTGCCCCTATGGCACAATACATAGTTACTATAATAATACTGACTACATTCTCTATGCTGTTCTTTACCTCCCAGTGACTATATTGTAACTACCAGTTTGTGCTCCTCAATCCCTGCATTTATTCTATGCTTCCACAAGTGAAGGGAGAAATGCTCTGCTTTGTATTTACCTTCATGAAGGAACGTGAGATCCTTCTTGATAACTGGGAAGAGAGGGATTATGGGAGGCTGCAGGTTTTGACTATTGAGGACATTGCGATATTTTGCCATGTTTCTGGAAGGATCAAATAGGTCTTGGAGATCTTGAAATAGCTTTTCATATTTATTGGGAAGTTTTTCCCAGGTGGTTCGCAATCTTGCAACTGGTGCCAGGTTTAGGCCACTGAGAGGAAAAAAGGAAAAGTGGTATAAAATGAAATGACATCCTTACAAAATGAAGGAAGTAAAACAGTGCACTGTTGACTTAATAACATATAGCGCCTCTGTGTGTATGCTAGTTATACATAATAATTTACAGGAAGATTCAGAAGAACTATTAATAACTAGGTAATAAGAATGGTAGGTGGAAGCAGGGTCAGTATCAGGGGCTTGTTTCCCTCCTCTTCTCTTTACACCCTCCCGGTCCGTTTACTATGGATAAGGGGGACTACTATATATCATTTAATCCGCTCCCTAACTCTTTGGCAGATTGTTATTTTACAGGGAAATAAACTAATGTTCAGAGAAGTTCAAATAATTTCCTCAAGGTTACGGAGATTAAAAAAAAAAAGAAAAAAAAAAGTGGTGAATATCGATTTTCCGGGCTCCAAATCAGCATATAAGAGATTTTAAATCAGGATTCAGAGAAATACAATTGTTCAGTATGATTCAATGAAAACCACTACACTTACACAAATTAGACAGTATTCCTGGATGGATATACATGTTTTTTAACCTGCAAATAGAGTTGAATCTTAAGACCAACATGCTCTTACCTGATGATTGCAAACATTGAGTTAAAATTCTTGCATTCCCTACAGTGCAGAGCGATCTTGATGAAATGCTTAATGATCTTCATTCTCTTCAGCTGGTTTGTCTCTCTCAGAATTTCAGACGCTACCCAAAATGTTTCCTGGTTAATGACTTCTTCAAATCTCTTCAGGTTGGCACAGCTGGCTTTGGATTTCAGCTTAAATAAATCGTCTATATACTCCGTGGGTTCAATGTTGCGGAAGAGCTCGAAGTTGCGCATGGAGAGCTGCGTGGCCACCTCCACGGTGCTGAGCTGCAGCAGGGAGATCTGGCTCTCCCTCAGCAGCTCCTGCGCGTCCTCGTCTGAGCACAGGGTTTCCGTTTCCATGTTGTTTTTCAAGTAGTACCTACGGGACACACAGAACCAAAGCTGACGCGGCGGGCTCAGGACAGGCCTTGCAAGGACACTGCTGCTTTCCACAGGACGCTTGAGGGCGCACGGAAGTGAATGGTGGAAGGATTCTTTTCCACTATTAAGAATGCAGCTGCTGCCCGGCCGGTGGCTCAGTTGGCTGGAGCGGCATCCGTACCCCGAAAGGTCATGGGTTTGATTCCCGGTCAGGGAACTTTCCTAGGTTTCGGGTTCAATCCCACTCTGGGTGCGTATGGGAGGCAACCAGTTGATGTTTCTCTCATATTGATGTTTTTTTCTCCCTCCCTCTCTCTAAGAAATCAATAAAGACATATCTTCAGGTGGAGAGAAAAAAAATGAATGTAGCTGCTGCCTCAGTCACCAGATCACAGAACCACCTATCCAGAAGTCACCGATGAAAACTAACAAATCACATGGAATTTCATGTGCACCAGGTGCTTCCTTAATTTCTCGTCCTTCCTTAATTTCTAGATTATTTTACCTTTTTTTGCTAAAAGTGACAGAAAATAGCTAAATTAAAATTTCCAGTTTAAATAAAGAAATAGGCTCTAAGGGGGAAGCAGGAAGATGACACAGGTCATCCTTCTATTTTTCCAGAGACAATCTGTAGCTATTGATAGGTTCAAACTGGATCAATCCAAGTTTACTTACTTATTCAAATACCAAAAAAACCTATCAGCTATTTCTCCCATTTGATCCTTTGAGTAGAACAAAACTAAACTGTTAAATATCCGATTTTCACAAAAACTCTACCAGTAAGTGGGGCAGGTATTATTGCTATTTTTCATATGAGGACAGAGAGGCTACCAAAGATTAATGACTAGTTAATACCAGTTGTAGAGGCAGGAACTCAGAGACAGTGCTCCTTTCTCTTTTAAGCAACTTGTTGAAAATAGAATCCAGATGTTTGCCCTGTGATTTTATTTTTTAAAACAGATGCTTTCCCTAAGTCAGATTTTATAAAGGAAGAAACAGAATGAGCACAGAGGGAGTTCTGCCAAACTGGCCTTCTGCATACTTCACCAAGGCAAACATGACAGAAAACACATACCTTGGGCCACTGACATATTCAGATTTAACGTTCCCAGTACTGATTATGATGAAGCCCATGACATGTCTCCATCTATAATTTTCTTGAATAACGAATGTGAATCATGAATCTGCACCTCCATGGGATTTGTAGAACTCCATCCCGGTAACAGATATGTCAATATACATTGAAATAATAATGAGGAAAACCGACCTCCTAAAACAACGCTACCTGCTTGTGGCGGGGGTGGCAATGAAGCGAAAGTGAAGACGGCAAGAAACAAGTGTGGAATGAATCCTATTGGGGTTTAGATGTGTAATGTGAAAATTCAAGTACAATGAAACACTCCATATGGGAGTAACATAGAAAAAACATGATCACAGAAAAAAAATGTGATCATTAGAACTATGTAATTTTCAGTTAGTGCAGAATCTGGTGACTACATGAGAATCAAAGCTTAACTAGTTTTTTAACTTTCACTAATCTGTGCTTTGAGAATACAAATTACATATATCTATCAATGGAAATACCATTCAAGAGACTGACAAAATCAGGTGCGATATTTTCTTGTAAGTTACATGTATTAAATAAGCACTTATGCAGCAGGGGACCAAGCTTTGCAGCAACGAAAGTTTGGTTGCAGAGTTAAGAAGTGTTTTTCACAGTATAATGTACAATAGACAGCATTAGCCAATTACATTGTCATAGGCATCTCCGCCTAAATAAATGAAGTTCCTAGAAGAGTTAGGCAGGCAGGAGCAAACAGCAGTGGAATATTGAGAAAGTGTTTTTGTGAGAGTACAGTTCCAAGAGTAAGAGAGCATCTGTACTTTCCTTCAGGCTTTCTTTACCTTCTGCCAGCCCGGTGTCCTAAAGAGTGAGCTTGAAAGGTTACTGCTTGAACACTGGTGGAGAGTAACATTATTCAGGTCACAGTGCCCTTGTTTTGAACAAGTCATTCAAAGACCCTTCTGAGGGTCAAAATTTACCGTGTGCATTTACTTTGATAAAGCAATTCTTGGTGAAGTGGGAAAAACTTTAAAAAAAAAAATGTATCTTTATAGATTTCAGAGACAGGAAGGGAGAGGGAGAGAGAGATAGAAACATCAATGATGAGAGAATCATCGCTGATCGGCTGCCTCCTGCACACCCCCGACCGGGAATCGAGACTGCAACCTGGGCATGTGCCCTGACCGGGAATCGAACCATGACCTCCTGGATCCTAGGTTGATGCTGAACCACTGAGCCACCCCTGGACGAGCGGGAAAAACTTCTTAATCTGCAGGGGTACTTACTCATTTGAAAGACTCTTTGAAAGTGTTCATCTCTTAGATTTTGAAGTGGGTTTGAAGGGGGGATGGTAAACAAATTTTATTAAAAAGATAGATATTGCATACCTCCCACTCAGCTGTATCCTATCAGCAAGTTTGGAAAGCTGATCTGGAAGCCTTCTTTGTTTGATTACCCCCTCAGGTGTGACGGAGACCTCACATAGCGAATATTGATCTGGAGTGGCAGTCACTGCAAACTCCCTGATGGCCTGAATGACCACTTCCTTTGCCGTGGTGTCCTTGCTGATCATGATGTATCGGCTTTGCTGATCAGCCTTAAAAACCCTTAACACTTGATCTGGCAAGTCTGGGGGAAAGGAAAGCCATACGTAAGTAGAAAGTATTTTAACATGTGGTAATACAATTAAGCGAAGTAATCTGAAAATTAAAAAAATACCCTCCTTATTAAAGAGAATGCTAAAATTTCACCTCTCCCTTACTATAGCTCTTCGTCAAAGATGCAATCAGTCAACATGCTGATAATCTGCAGACGACTGCAAACACATCAGTACACAACAGCTGAACACAGGGTGTCAGGTTAGTAGCAAAAAAGTAAAAAATTTAAATCTAAAGTTCATCTGTATTATAAAAGCTCATTAAGCTAACCTAAAAGAGGCCTTTTACTCTATTTACTTAATATAACCTAATAAGGCCTGCATCGTATGTATTATCTTCATTTTAGAAAAAGAAAACAAGTTCAGAGAGATTAATTTGCCCATGGCTATATCAAAATAGTCTGAAGAATAAAAAAGAGCTGGTTCCAATTGTTTTAAGGTTCACCTTGACTCTGAGCATCTGACAAATCCATGGCAAACCAAGAGAGATGTGTATAGCATTACCTTATGTTAGAAGGAAAGAGATTATTATTGCAATAAAATGAAAGAAGTATGGGCAGTGCTTACCAGGAGTGGTACTGAAGTCTAAAATGCGGTGATGTGACTGCAATAAATCAGGATTACTGGATGACAAGGTTCCACTGACAGGCAATGCAGTTGGGATATGCTTTGTCTGCCTTAATCCTACTATGCTGTCATCTTGAGATTGACCAATCCCAATATCACTGAACAAAGAGGAAAATTAGAAAATAAATAATCAACAAGTTAGAATCTTTAACTCATCAATATATTATAGACACAGATCATAAATAAATCATACTTCATAAAATATGCAGTTAACATTAAAATATTGATGAATTTGGTTGAAAATTGCAAAATTTTCATTACTGCTCAAGTGTATCCAACTCAACTTGTTTTGCTGTTTCTTAAGGGTATGGCATGTTTCTCTGAAACCTATGTCTTTCAAATAAGACAAACCATAACAAATATTAGTAGTTTCTCAGTACAGAAATACATTCAAGAAAAGATAAGCTCTAGTTTCTGATGAAAACAGATGTTTAATTATTTATTATTATTTTAAAAAATATGTTTTTATTGGTCCGAAAGAGAGGAAGAGAGAGAGAGAGAGAAACACTGATGTGAGAGAGAAACATCCATTGGCTGCCTCCCACACGCACCAACTGGGGATCGAACCTGCGACATTTTGGTGCATGGGACTCAAAAAAACTGAGCCTTACAGGCCAGGGCAGAAACAGACTTTTAAAAAAGAACACCAAGTTTACTTCTTACTCAACTGATGGCTTCTGCATCAGAATGATAAATTGCATTATAATCTCATCTTTAAGAACTGAAGAAATTGAATAAAATGAAAAAGGGAGACAAAATCCAAACTGTCCCAATTTCATTCTTCACTGTTTCAGAAAAATGAGATCACTATGGAGTCAACTGTAAATAAACCCTGACACAGACATTATTTCTTAATTAAACAGAGCATACAAAAGAAGTGGTGCCTGGTGACATTTCTCAGCATCAAAGAAGAGGCAATGGAAATCCAATGACTCACTTTTAATTCTCTACTCAAATTTTCTGGTTATACATTCAAGATCCTAGAGAAATACTGCTTATTATGGATAGCTACAAATTCATTTCCATTTATAAGAAGCCTGTTACTGCGGACTACTCTTGAAACAAGATTTGAAACATGATTTAATAATATATAAAAATTATTTCTAGATTTGAAGGGTCAACTGTTTTCAAAGTAAAACACCAAAATAAAACAATATGTATGCATGTACACTCAAAAACAACTAGATCATAACCAAATGGTTAGCGCTCTGTCTAGTTTTTATAAATACCTTGAAAGAAGAGGAAAGGAAATTATACTAAGGTTGGAATGTCATAAATAAAATGAAGGCATTTAGCATCAATTAGGTTTTCAGACATTAGAGCTTGGCCATAATACCAACTATTTTTAATAGCTATGTTAAAAAGACATCTAGCAGCATTCTTTCTCTTTATTTCTTGGTGAAGTAGATATTATAAAGGTAAATAAGCAAGGACAAGAGCTTGCTTTTAAAAACAAAAATTAAAGATAGTTTTAGAGTGAGTTCTTTCAAATTTATAGGTAAGTCCATGCCAAAATAAAATTGCTACTTATTAAGCACATAGAGGCAGGCATATAAAGACTAAAAGTATTAATGTTCTGTGAAACTTTTAAACCTTCACATTGTTAGTAACATTTTATTACTCAACCACATAAGCCAGTTTTTACCGCCAAAAATATTAGATGTAATACATGACCTGAGATAACTACTAGGGACTCAGGCCAAAGATATAGCTGACTGGGCCACTCCTGGCACAAATGGCCGTGAATACTAGTGTACTCCAGGCACATCCAGAGAGCTGCCTTCTTAAATGTTTCTCTGCAGCATTTTACACCTAACATGATCTAACTCCCTCCTCTCGCCTGTATCTCTGTTATCCACAGACATGGGGATACTCCTGGATTGAAACTACTTTATTTTCAGGACAATTCAGAAATGTCTGTGAATACGTCCTCTTACTGTTCAACCTTTCCAGCTTTCTCATTGTTACTGAAATTGGTTTTTGGCATTTGTTGATTTTAGTCTACTGACTTGTTCCCTCTTTTTTTCCTCTGGGTTCGTGAGCATTATCTACTTACCTGACAAACAGATCTGAATCCTACAATTCTCTTGCCTCACCCCTTTTCTTTCTCTATTTCCATCACTCTACCTTGCCTATCCTTGGCAGTCTGCCATCACCCAGCATCTTAGCTGCTTCCATAATACTGATAATGTTTGAGAGGGAAGGAAAAAACAACTACAGCATTATCTAGAAGATTTTTCTAATTGACAAGGGCCTTTGTAAAAAAAAAAAAAAGAAAAGAAAATCTTTGTAAACACATGCTGACTTCTAAGAGAAAAGTTTTAGTAGTAACCAGTATTAAACCAAGTCTATCATACCAATATAGAGAGCCTACGTTTTATTGAACCTTCTTTTAAATATAATTATTTTTTCCTATTTCATTATAATATGAATTATAGCAAATAATTTTACATAATAAAATACATAATTCATACTTTTTAAAAAAACTACAAACCAACACAGTTCCTCAGTGTTCTAAATTCAGCACATCTTATTATCTTTCCTTCCCCCTCTCCAGCTTTTGAATATCTTTCTAAATACACACAAAACAAAATTATACATAGTATTTCCATAGTGTGAACCTTGCTAACATCCTATACCATGAATGGATTCCATCCCAGTTCTTACCTCTCACATTTCTATTAATACCTGCGAGGGTCACGCTGACTTTTGATCTTTTTTTTTAAGGTTCATATTTAACTCATGGTCAAATACTACTCTGAGATCTTTTATTGTTATTGTGTTGCTAATAATCCTACTAACAATGTGAAGGCTTGAATGTTTCACGGAACATTAATACTTTTAGTCTTTATATGCATGCCTTTGTGTGTTCAATCAAGAAGGGTCACTTTCAAAATCGATTTCTGTTTTCTGGAATGCCAGCAGACCTCACCCATGGCCCCTTGGAAACTTACTCAATATAGATATACTCTCAAGTCTATAAATAAAACCATCTTACTCACTGCTTGTCCTTAGGACTCTGCTGTAGAAGTCTTTCATAGCTGATACAAAAACACCAATCATTATAATTCAATGTGGACAACACAAGTTTGACACTCAACCTATCAATAATATATTCTAGACCATATCTCTCTAATCTGTGGATGAATATTTTACCTGAAATGGAATTTAAAGATAGAAATGCTTGATATAGTCCTAAAAGTCTGTATCTACTGCTCCTTCGTAAGACCCATTAAATTATCAAAGAAGGTAAATAATGTTTTTAAGTTATCTCTTATACCTTTGTAGTTTGGGGAATATAAAATAAATAAATTTGGTGCACGCATGTTATTTACATTAAAAACTTTTTGACTGGTGGTAATTGAGTTTTATAAAACACCCTTAGACTCAGAAGAAGCTAAAATGAAGAAATAACAAAGCAAACAAGCAAAGCTAAACAAATGTGACACCAACTGTCTAGTCTGAGCTCCTGGCATGAAGAAATAGCCAAAAGGAGATTCGAGATACACCTGACATCCTGACTGCAGAGCCCACTGGGAGGGAGAAAAGGAGTCTGTGTCTGGCTGGTGATAACTGGCAACGGTTAAAGAACTGCAAACAGAAAAGAAAGGGAAAAAAGAGAATGGCAAGGATGAATAGTGGCAACGGGAAGAAGCAAAGACTTGGCTGGCAAAGAGCAGGTGCTGATGGTAGAGAAGATTTCCAGAAACACAGAAACAGTAGCAAAAACACCTCCCAATCACAGGGAAGACGGGAGCAAATACAACAGTATTTTTTAAAGTCTAAATAAGAAATAATGAGGAAGTGCTAAGCGCTCTCTAATGAAGACTGGGATGGGCAAGTAAGTGGCAAAAACAGGATTAAAACAAACTTGATTGTTCAATATTTCTTCTAAGATAGCTCAGGTATAAAAGCTTAAAACCTTTTCTAGGCTCATGTGCAAATATTAATTACATCATTACCGTTGCATATTGTAACACAAAAAAACAATGCACACAAGATTTACACAGACACTTACTTATATGGTTTCTGTGGCAAGATGCTGATCCGAGTCTTGTCAAGTATCTTCTTTAGCTTGTTCCTTCCTCCAACGGTATTGGCTTTACTTTTTTTATTTACCTTTTCAAGTCCTATCACCTGTTCTACATCTACAGCAAGATCTGGAATGGAGTAGCGACTGGCCTTTTTGATATCTCCAATTTTAGGAAGGTGAGGGGCACCATTTCTTTTCTCTTCTGACAATCTTGTTAGAAGTTCTTTAAATACTAAAGTGGAAATAAACACCACAAAACACCCATTATAAGAGATCTGAGCAATTCAAAGGCAACTGTAGAACTTGGAAATAGAAGAGAAGTCTAGACTTCAGGGGCTGAAACTGCAATCCTGTAGGAAAACGCTACTCCCAGTGAATGACAACAAGAATGTGCTTTATAATGTTGCTCTATCATTTTCACTCAGAATAAGTTAAAGTAGTATATTCTTTTTCTAAAAAGATTTTTTATTCATTTTTAGAGAGAGAAAGAGGGAAAGAGAGAAACATCAAGGTGAGAGTGAAACATGAATCGGTTGCCTCCTGTATGCCCACTACGAGGGATCGAGCCCGAAACCTGGGCACGTGCCCTGACTGGGAATCCAACGGGCAACCTTTCTGTGCATGGGACGATGCCCAACCAACCGAGCCACACCGGCCAGGGCTAAAAGTCGTGTATTCTTTAAATGTATAGGTATTTAAAACATTTATGAATAAAAACATTGATAGAACAGTTTTTATGATCCTCACATCACTAGATTCTGATTTAGATCTAATTACACACTTACATAATTAATTATATAAAATGTTCTTATTCCTGTGATATTTGAAATATTACTTATAAAAATGACCTTTTTAGGATTAAGATGTAAATATAAAAAAGACCAAAAGGAGAAAAATGAAAGCATGTAAAAATACTTACCAAATAAATTGGTTTTCACAGTGATAGATAAATGTGTGTTATTTCTAAGAATTTCCATGGCTTTTGACAGCTGAATATTTTCAAAGTTTTGACCATTTACTTCTAATATCTAAAAATAAAATTATAAAATTAATTTCCATATCCTACTTGACTGAAGAAAGAAAAAAAAGACATCAATATTCACCCTTGAAGTTTGGATTTAGAAATGTCATACCTGATCCCCTCGTTTCAAGCCTGCCTCAGTTGCTTTGCTCCCTGAATCGACACTGTCCACAAAGATCCCAAATCCCTTCTCTGAGCCTCCAAGTAAAATAAAAGGCAAAGGAGCTTCTCGGGATGGTTTTGTTAATGTCATCAACCTTCTTTTTGCTTTAGCTGCACATGCAATATTTAACAGCCTTAGATGTCCACCCATTTTCTATAAAAGTTCAGAAAGAGCGGTTTCAAAGGTAGGCTGAATAAAATGAACTTAAAGCTGATGGTTTTTCTTTTAAAAAAAAAATCACAACTATTACCTACCTCTCTTTCCAGGTTATTTTCAAATTCTTCTAGAAATCGAGCCATCGCAGGGTCTCCTTCAAAGTCATTGAAGTGATTATTTACCCACAATAATACTACCCGTGTAACCTGTAAAAATAATTTTCAGTAGGTTTTCTAAAAATTTAGTGTTAAAAATTTGCAATTAAAGTGATTTCAAATTAGACATTGAACAAACAATTCACCTAGTAACAACAAACAAGAAAATATACTAAGAAAGAACACCCTCAGCAGGGATTTCATTCATAAGAAAATGACCTTCTAAAAATATATTTTTATACTTTGAATACTGACTTTACATTGTTTTGTTAGGAAGGGTTTTGAATCTGAGAAGGATGTAATAAACGTACATCTCACTTACTCTCAAAATGTATTTGAAACAGGTCACCACAAAAACAAAGCTATGATAAAACCAGAATAAATGAATACAAGACAAAGAAGACAGAAGTAAAAAAAATATAATAATAAAGGTAGAGGGCACAATAGACAAAAGGAATAAATAGTATTAAGCCTAGAAAGATCTACAGGGGAACGAATTATAAATTGAAGGAGCTAGCTGGGAGTTACTGGCAGTTACATATTACTTGCTAACATTAAGATTTAGAAACCTGTTAACACCTATAATTCTTCAGGAAAAATGAACAGCCTTTTCTCACCCTACACCACACAGCCCAAAACCTTTATACAGACAATATACACACTCACAGTTATAGAATTTTTTTTTTCTGTACCCAGCAAGAACAATGTGACATTCATTAGACTGTAAGTTCCATGAGAACGACTTTATGTTATGTTCTAAGGGCATCCTTAATACCTCTAACAATGCCTGGCAGAACGCAAATGCTCACTAAAATTTTACTAAATGACGTGAGTATAACTGCGACTTTAAGTATAAAGTACTTGTTTTCTTTTATATGAGTTTAATTTCCCAAATTTGAATAACAAGATAAAAGAAATTTTCTATAGAATTGTTTTCAAACATTACCCTCTTGAAATGAGAAAATTAATCACGTTATTCTAGCAGTAAAGAAATAGAGATGATGGTATATAGTTAATTTTTAACTATAGTTTAAAATACTCTTTATTATTAATATACTGTGACAAATTATAAACGTAATCACTCGGGAGTTGAATCTTGATATTTATATTAACTTTGTGTCATTTACTATTGCTATTGCCCAATTTTTCAAATTTAGGAAACATACAAGATGATCTCCCTTAAAACTATACCTAACACCTGACCTTTTATAAAATTAAAATTTTGCACCTGAGAAGCCAACTTGAAAGTTCACTAGGCATAGTACACATTAGAAAAATGAGATTCATAAATCATAAATTGAAAATGACCAACTACCACCAATAGCAAACAATCTTTAGGATGTATTAAGTGCTGGCTCTGAGTCAGACACTACAGAACTCTACTTCTATTATTCATCCACAACAGTCCCAAAAGGATGTTGATTATTCATTGCACAAGTAAATAAATGAGTGTCAGGACGGTCAGGTGGCACATAAGGTATATGACAGAGACAATGCTACTCAAATCAAGTTTTTATGGCTGAAGAGCTTGGCTGAGATCTTCTAGGCTTGTGACTCTCAGAATATGAACTGAAAAGCAGTATCGTCCAAGTGATTTCTCTAAGGCCACACAAGCTAGGTGGTGGCAGGACCAGCACTAGAGCTTGGGGCTTTTCATTATTAGTCTCCTGTTCTGGATTTTCCTATCGTGCCTCTCCTAAGTCTGTCTCATGTAAATCAGACTGCACGTGGAAAGGAGAAATCAGTACAGACTATGATTAACTCTCAAACCTCATGAGAATATGTAGTTTATCATCCAATCTAGCCTTGACGCAGCTCTCAAGAGCAGCTAAAGAGGGTCTGTTTAGAATTATATTGCTGGGACCTACCAGCCAGCAGTGGTTGCAATGAAATGCTGCTATGGTGCCAATTTAAAAATTGTAACTTTTATCTGGTGTACACTGACCATCTACTGAACTAGAGAATGCAGATTCCTATGGAACCCAGATGTTTAAGGGTTGTGTTTTAACACATTCCTAATAGAACTAAAATTTAAACATTTGTAAACAATTTACTAACATTTGCATTAAAAAAAAAAGACATTTCTAGGACTGAAACTAGCAACCTATAACAAGAACATCTGTATAACTTTTGCTTAAAAAGCACACTCTCTTATTCCATTAAAATAATTAGAACATAACTGGAGTGACAGATATACATATATTAAAGTATCTTTAAGTTTATATCTGAATATTTCATATTTAAAAGTCAAACTAGAATATATTTTCCAACCTTATCCCTGAGGCTCGGGTCATTGAACCACTCCAATAACTTTTTGCCCACTTCCATTGGGCTAGAAAGAAAAGTCCTGTAGGTCAACAGGAAGTCTTCTATGAACGTTGGGTCCACCACCGAATGCTCTTCCACCAAATGCATTGTTAATCTTTCTGAGGTGCCCTGTAACACAGAAAAGGCTTAATCACTATTCTGCATAAATAGCATCTACATGGTACCCTGACTTCAAATCTTCAACAGAAGACGAACTGGGTAGTGAGATGTCTATATGTAATTAATAAAACTGCTATTCATCAGAAAATATAAAGATTTTCTTACAACTGACAAATTTTAAGAGAAATTATGCCTAAAAACGGGGAGGGGGAATCTGAGGTTGTCATAACTGATACTACCGAAAAAAAATAGAACCACGTTTGTCTTACCTTGATGACAATGTGTCCCTTTCTTGTTCCAGTTCGATCAAGTTCTCGGTGTTCTTTCACCATAACAATTTCTCCTTCCTCCTCCACCTTTTGCATGTTCTTTTCTACTTGGTTGAGAATACGGCAATAATCTTGCTGGGCTATGCAGACAAACTAGAATAAAATATAAGTCACATGTTAATGATAAAGTGCTTGCAAGAGACCTAGCAGTACTAATAACTCTGTTTTAATTATTTAACTCTGACATTTTTCTATGTCTTTCCTGTACTTTCTAATGAGTGCAGTAATGAGCCTTAATCAGAATTCTCTACTTTTTAATGTATTTCTTCTTTGGTCAAGAAAAGTTTCATATTTTAGAATATTTATATGCAGTGTATATTAAAAATCCTAACAATTTTAAAAATCAGATGATAAAATTAGGAGTCCTCTCTTGCCTCTCCTTTGATAATTATAAAAACATTATAGGAGGGGAGTGGAATCTTAAGAGGATAGATATAAAAACAATCATTTGAAAAGACTTTAAAAGCAACATTTTAAAATAAAGATGGTTTTAATAAAAAGATGTTGAAATTCCATATGTGGATATGTGGAGTAGATATTAGAAATTTGCTAATTATATTGATAAATCATTTTAGAAAGTCTGTTCAAAAAAGGTCCACAAAACAAGCCACATACTGCCCTGCTGGTGTGGCTCAGTGGTTGAGTGTCGACCCATGAAACTGGTCGGGGTACATGCCTGGGTTGTGGGCTCGATCCCAGTAGAGGTTGCACAGGAGGCAGCTGATAGGTGTTTGTCTCTCATTGATGTTTCTATCTATCCCTCTCCCTTCCTCTCTCTCTAAAATTAATAAAAACAGGCCTGGCCTGGCGTGGCTCAGAGGCTGAGTGTCAACCTAGGATCCAGGAGATCGAGGTTCGATTCCTGGTCAGGGCTCATGCCCGGGATGCGGGCTTCATTTCCAGTCGGGGGCGTGCAGGAGGCAGCCGATCAATGACTCTCTCATCATTGATGTTTCTATCTCTCTCTCCCTTCCTCTCTCTGAAATCAATAAAGATATATTTAACAACAACAAAAAATAAAACAAAATTAATAAAAATGTATTAAAAGAACCGCCCCAAAACCAAGCCTCATACTTGCTAAGCTCAAATCATTATTCTTTATAACAGGTATTAAGGGTGATCCTTGCTCTTAAAAAAAAATTAACAATAATGTACACATCAAGCCATTACTTCTCCATCACCCCAAATGTGAAAAAAAAAGTCAAGGCTTAGGGCAAACCACTTAATTACATTTCTTAGCAGTTTTAAGGAAACTTAAAAATGAATTACAGAAATCACAAATTACACAATTTAACCAAAGGCCACTGTCAGGTCTGAATTTTGAATGATTTATTCTTATTTAAGTAATCTAACCAAAGGCCACTGTCAAGTCTGAATTTTGAATGATTTATTTTTATTTAAGTAATCATTTTGGAAGAAGAAAGGACATTTCTTTTTCTCTTTTAATGTGAAAAGGTGAAAAAAGGGGGGGATGATTGGATTATAGCATATATAAGATACAATATGAAACCGTCATCCAAAATATATTTTCATAGGACATTTAGAGTTCTGGCCTAATGTTCATGATACTACATTAAATATTTTTTAAAGGTGAAAAACCAAATATTGTAGTACTTATAATGGCACTCTCCTCCTCAGTATACTGCAGTTTAACCTTACAGAACTGTTTCAATTCATCATCCTCCAAATCATCCCATAAAGGTGCTACTATTACCCCATTGTACAAATGAGAACACAACTGTCTCCTAATTACATGGTTGCTTATTTAAAAAAAAAATTGTATATGCGTATCAAAATCTTAGAAGAAAATATAACAAAATGTTAATAATTATTTCTGAACAATGAAAATTACAATTGACTTTCATTTTTAATATACTTTTCTATATTTTTCCATACTTATTGTATAATCATGAAAGATTTTTTTTTTATAGAAGTAGCAGGAGCAGTTCACACTCAAGAAACAGCATATTATAGTAATATTGTTTCTTCCACTGAGTTGGAAGAAACTCAGTGATATCACTAATTTTTCTATTAAGAGTTTAGAATAAAAAAGTATAGGCTTTCCTTATAAGTTATTATGCATAGTTTAATTCATTTAAAAAAATTCCTTTAAAAAACCCATTTCTATTACACTACCCACTAGTGACTTTCTTATACTCAGATTTAGAGAACTAAATTCTATCATTTTTTCATTCATCTCCTAAAAAAAGGAATATATCCGAGTTAAAATAAGTAGACAGAGAAAAGAAAATGCATTTTGAAGAGCAATGTTCTTAAGATTAATCTTCTTGACTAAGAATTTAAGGAAATTAGAGTAAGTTTGATTTAAAATTCTTAATGTCTAAGACAGATAGTTTGGGCATATAAAAAATTTTTTTTTGGTTTGAGATATAAATGCCATTCTCAATTTATCCCATATGCTTTGATCTGCAACTATCAGAATATATGATTCAAACTTATGCATAAGGATTCACATTTGCATTAAATCCAAAGCTAAGGGTGGGCTTAGCACTGGTTGAGTCAATGAACCAAATATGTTATGAAGGATTCAGACTCTGCCTCTCTGTGCAAACATGCACAGTTTGAGCTTCAACCTAAAGCAAGTTCCTCATGGCTCTAGGACACATGCCACTGACAACCGAGCCTCAAGCTTCCTCATTAACATGCATGAGGGTGAGAGAGAACATTGCTTCTAGCTTGGGCATTTCTTCAGCAAACTAAAATACCATAAAAAAAGAAAATTCCCAAACTGAATTTCTATTATGGTCATACAGAGCTAATATCTAAAAAGAAATTTTAGATGAAAACACTTAACTATATTATTATTAGTAGACTTATTTTTGTTTTAAGAAGTTTATAGATCTAGTAAGAAATTCATAGGTAAAATGGAATATTAACTGGTATAATAAAGTCAATTCGTGAATTATACACATCATTGTTTTGGTGAGGTTTATACTTTCAGACAGCTGTTAACACATAAAAGTATGTGTTATGATCTTGGCACTCTAATATAAAAGAAAAATCCAAACAAGATTTTGCTTATAAAAGCCAGTGGCAGTTTATGTCACAGTATTATTTTCTTTTGGGCACATGACATCACAATTTACATTTAGTAGAAAAATAATAGAGAATAATAGAATGAAGTAAAATTAAACTCCAATCATAATACAGAATAGTCAACTTTCAATTTATCCATGCAACTGCTTTCTCCTCCAAAACTACTTCATAAATTCAAAGCGTCATTAACTTGCCTGGTCTCAAGAAAAGGTGAGTCTAATAGATTTACCTTAAGAGGTTAGATCTATTTAAACTGGTACTTGCTAGTCTGTAAGAGAAATTCACACCTGACTGTTCACACATTGAAGCGTGTAGGGCAGGGCTAAGAAATGCCTGGGGCAGAGAAGGGAAAAGGGAGCTGCAGAGAAGGGAGAGAAAGAGAGGGACGGAAAGAAGGAAAAAGAAAAGAAAGAGACATATGTGGGGAATGGAAAACCATTACCAGTCACCTGGTACCATACATAGGATGTCGACACCTAGCCCTGCCTTCATCCTTCAAATCAAACAGGGAACAAGAACACACTCCAAGGACAGAACTGGGGAGCAGCATACAGAGAAGGGATCAAGAGCAAATACAACCTTGAACATATTGTGGGGTCCAAATAAACAGAAATAAATGTTACATTTAATCCAGTCACTAGTGCGTCCTTAGGCTTAACATAAGCTCCAATAGAAATCATATAAGCCAATATTTATTTTCAGAACCCACTGAAATGTAGGAAAATGAGGTCCAATCCTAAGCCAAGTTGCTTCTTCTTGGTGAAGAGAACACCATTTTTGTTCATGTCATTCAACACCCGTTGATTGCCTACAATGTGCTCAGTGGAATAATTGCAATTTATGAAGGGCATCTTATGGATAAACGAAATATGATTCTCATTGTCCTTCACATCTCCTAACAAGATGATCTAACATTTGTACTTTCTGACAGATAATTAAGAGTTGATTATATTTAGAATGCTCTTCTGTCATTACATATTCAAACCATTTAATTTATAGCCTTTTTTTCCCCTCTACAGTGCTCACAGAAAGAATCATTTGGCAACACTGCTTTGATACTTTTGCAAGATGATTTTATTTATAGTCATGGTCATTTTTCCTTTTAGTGAGAAAAATGCTTAAAATGAAAATGAATAGTATTTAACACTTATCAGACACTATAAATATTAAGTGATGGTCTTTTAAAATAAAGCATATTCAAAAGTATTTGACTAAAGACAAATACAATGAGGACTTAACATTAATTAGTCTAAGTCCAATCTTCTGGTTTATTTATGTTAAAATATTTTATCTTTCAAAGATCAAATTTTTAAGAAGAACAAATTATAAACACTTGATAACAAAAGCATCTTAAATTTACTTCTCACTAATATAGAGGTTACCCATTATATTAATTTAATTAAATTTCACATTTGGTCTCAATATTTTCTCTAGTCTTTAATTAATGAATATTAACATAGTATCAGCACTGACATTTTAGCTATCAAGTATTTCCCTTATATCAGCAGTTATTTTTAAAAAATATATATCTTTATTGATTTCAGAGAGGGGAAGGGAAAGGGGGAGAGAGAGAGAGAAACATCAATGATGAGAGTCATTGATCGGCTGCCTCCTGCACGCTCCCTACTGGGGATCGAGCCCCCAACCCAGGCATGTGCCCTGACCAGGAATCGAACCAGGATCTCCTGGGTCATAGGTCGATGCTCCACTGCTGAGCCACGCCAGCCAGGCTACTAGCAAGTCTTTCTATTGAGTCGTACAAAGATTAATTTTCACGACTTCTAAAATTAATTCCTTATTTTGTATGTATTTAAATAAAAACATTGCATAACTGTATCAACACTTAGTCTTGTGTAGTTCTAATAACTTTAAGGGAGATTTATTTTTAATTTCCTGGGGCATGATAACATTAAAACACTAAAAGTAATAGTTCTACTTTAAAATCTTACTTATAAATCTAAAAGATGAGCTATTTATATAAACATAAAGATCTTAACACAACTGCATATATATGTTATTAAACATAAACATTTTTTAAATGATATTTTATACCTGGCAGTCATCCACCTTTGTTCTCATTACTCCTTTCATATATTCTTTGTCCATAGTAGGAGAGACACCAAAACTATTTCCCATGCATAATATTTCTGCTTTTCCATCTGGATAAGTCACTTCTACAGAACCATTCAGAATCACTGACCAGGAATCCAGCTAATTCAAAAAAGGAAGACAAAGCAGAAAATGACATCATGATCATGTAGCTGTAAATGCTAGAATGGTCCCTACAAATGACTTAGCAGCTCTTTCATTCTAAAGATTGAACAAGTAAGTTAACTATTTACCAAATTCATAGAACAAGCAATAAAGCACAGCCATGTATCTACATATCTATACATGTCTCGCACAGGGTGCACATCATGCCGCTCTCTAAATCTGACTTTGCATATTCTTCTCTACAATGACATAAGAGGGAAAATTTCTTCTGTTCCCCAAAACACATGTAGTAAACAAGGAAAAATGATCACCACTGCCTCAATGAGAATATTAGTTTCTTCTGACAAAAGGCATTACATTATGAACATTTAAGTTATAAAATCCATAAAGTTAACACAAAAATATCTCTTAATACTATTTAAAATATTGTAAATAACTAAAAATAAAATAATGGATTTGGACTACTTTGACATCATGAGCATTATCATAATTATTGACTTATTCAAAGCCGTTGTCTATTTTTTTTAAGGAGAAAAAGGTAAGAATTGGGTTTTTGTTCATTTGCTGTATTGACAGAACTCAATCAGAAACTTTTTAAGCGGTAGAGATATTTACTAACCTCTTCACCGTCATTTAACACTATGGTCCCGGCTCTTTCCACCACTGCAAATACCATTACAGCACAGAGTTCTCGTCTCACCGACATTGTCATATTGGCAAAGGCAGGCAACTGGTGCATAAATTCCAAGAGTTGTTCTGAAAAGCAAAAGTGCTTAGTGTAAAAATGACAACTTTTTTAAAAAACCAAGCAATCAAAAAGAATGCTCTAGGGTTCTTTATTTTTAAATGCCCTACAATTCGACCCAATGAAAAATATAATTATCTTCAGTACAAGTTAGATTTCTTGCAGCTCTACAAAGATGTATGTCATTATGGAAATGGTAATATTTCCTTGTTGTTTCAGGAGCAACAGTATACACTGTAATTCGAATTCTAATGGCAATGACTAAATTAATAAACTTCAAATGAGAAATTTCTGTTGAAAATTAGCTGTGATATTATTAAAGGCTTATTAAGGGGTGAAATGATAAGCTGAAATGAAACAGAGCTCTGAGAATTCTCCGAAGCCATTCTAGCCCATTCCAGTGTCTTTTGGGCAAGTGGATGCCCAAAACAGTGAGCAGAAATAACTACCTTCAATCTAAAGATATTCCATTATTTAGAAACCAAGAGGTATTTTTCAATGGATCAGAACTAGTCAATTAAAATTTTGTATTATGTGACAGATGCAAATGACAATACATTATTTCTTATCCCACAGATTGACAAAAAAAAAAAAGTTTGACCACTCTGCTGGTGATGCTATGGAGGAGCGTTTACACTTTGGTAGAGTTCTAGTTGTTGACAAGATTGATGGCTTCACAGTCCTTTCAAGTCCTGTGGTCTCTATTTTTAATTTTCTCTATCATTATGTAGCTTTACTAATTACTTACTAAATTCTTTCCTTACTCTTCCACATGGCTCTGTGAGGTACATGATTTGTTTGTTTTTTTCACTTCACAGGGAGGAAACAGAGGCTCAAAGTCATATAATTAGGAGGTGGCAGTGACATGATTCAGGACTGTCTGCTTCCAAAGTTCATGCTGGACATTACAGGTAGTGATGAAGAGCACAAGTGTGTGTCAGACATCATGTGAATACTTCCTAGTTATATTATTTTGGGAAAGTTGATTAATTCCCTTAAGTCATATTTTTCTCATTTGTAAAAAAAAAACCACACATTATACATACCTTTATTGTGAGGATCAAATTCAATAAAGATCAGTCATTAACACAGAGTAAATATTTAATAAATGAAAACTGCTACTGTTGCCTTTATTATTATATTCATGTCTTTCAAACTTTTAGCGAAGTAAAAATTCCACTGTATTTTTCTTGTTTCCACATAATGAAATTCTCTCTATGCATATTCCTTCTATCTATTAAGATTTGTGGCAAACTTTATGTTGTTGGCTATTGTTTGTTAATTGCAAGAACAATGTAGAATAGAATATATTCTATATATGAATGTATATTACATATACATATAAATGTATGTTACATTTTCCGAAGGTCAGACTGGGTATTTTCTCTGGTTCAACTGGGTAATGTCTGCTCTGATTAGATCCTACGTCATCCTTCCTGTGTAAGACTTTTCATCACACAGGGTGGCCTCGGTAGTCAGGAGCATAACAATGACAGGTGGTACCCAGGGACTCTGTCCAATAGGACAGTGTTCTTCAACTTGAGCCAGACTGATGTGTCAAGAATTCATTTTACTGTTGCAACCAACATTTAAAAAGAAAAAAATGAAGGAAGAGTATGAAAGCACATCCCTTACAGAAAGAACGAGCAGGTGTGTTTATATTATTTATTCCTGGGACAGCAATAAAGCAATTTTGAAAGCACTGCAAGAGATAACCCGTATCTATTACATGTGACAGGTAGGGATCATTGTTTTACAAATGCACTGACCTTTTCATTTGAAACATAAAGGCAAATAAACAAGTCGTGGTCCTCCGACTAGCACGTCACAGCTCTGCTGTTTCCAGCCTGTTTTCTTAGCTACTACCCTCACTCCTCATCATAAGGTATTAAAATATTACCTACAAGACCAACCATTTTACTTGTTTTCTTCCCCTAGTAAGAGCCAAATTTCTTTGGACAAGCAAAGATTCATGGTCTTAAGAAAAATACGAGATTGGAGGCTGGCAGAAATATTTTCAATTTAACATAATGTTTAGATAATAATAAAAGTCAAATTACCAACATGCGTATGATTGAACAACCTGAAGTATATGAATATGAAGTATAAAATATATTCCCTAATCCTAGCCATAATGATCTGAAGTGCCTGGCACAGACATTTTTCTTGCTTTTTGGCAGATTCCTACTCCATTAGTAGATCATAAAATCAATGTGTGATATATGAATAGTGACTAACATTCAAAAAAACAACAACAGGATAGAAAATATCCATGCATCAGATATAACGATAAATAATATAGGAGAAAGAAAATACTTAAGAATAGGAAAATGTCCGTAATTCTTCAGGCTCAGTTGAAAAACAATAAATAAATAAATAAACATATAAATAAATTAATATATATATTTTTAATCTGTGGAGTTTTTGGGGGGTACACTAAGGAGGGAAAAAGACATTCTTTGAAAGGGATCACAGTAGTTCTTTGCCTTAATGTGTCAAGGCCTCAAAACAAAAAATTAAATTAACCATTCAATAATTGGCTACCCACAAATTATGAGTTGGAGACCAAAAATGAATAAAGTCCTTTCCTTCAAAGTAATGAAACAAAGGTACACCTAAGAATCTAGGAAAACCCAAAGAAAAAATTTTAATTCCTGCAGTTTTAAAAATATAAGATATTAACATTTTCATTTGATTCAACTGCCCATCCCATCCCAAACACACATCATCCCTTCTTTTTTGTGAGGGTAGAGGAAGGTGGTTAGGAAGAGAGGCATCTAGAGAAAATATTAACTGTACAGATGTTTGTAGTTCATATGAAAGATGTCTGTTTTAACTAAATACTGGAAGATGAGTTTGATTTAACAAGAGTAACAGCAAAAGACAAGGCTTAAGAGTTCTCCTGTGTGGTTTTATTTTGCGGAGATGGAATACAAGATCTAAGATCTCGTGTAGATCAAACAACACTCTTTAGGCCTTATCTTTAATGATAATGGTTTATTATTTTATATAAAAGTATATTTGAAAAGAGCAAGCATCAGAATCACTGCTGTTTGCAAGAGAATTGGTGTTCAAGGAAAATGTTATTCACTGTAGAGATTATATCAACAGGCACATTTAAAAAAAAGATAGCTTTGCATTATTTTGTAGGAATCAGCATAGTTCTTGCTTTCCAGAAACACCTCAGATATAAAGTGAAAGTCTTACATTTTTAGGAATGATATGCTACACATATTTTAACAACAATCGTCATTTTCTTCCATAACTATACTAAAACAAACATATTCAAAAGAGAAGATACATTAGCTCACAAAAGGATAACTTCCACATCAATCTGTTGATAAGCAGTGTTCAATCTACTTTTTAAAATGCTATGAGCAAGGATTCTGGAGTAAAATGGCCAAATGAACACACTTCAACTTCATTCTCTCTTTAAAACTATAATAAAGAGATTTTAAAAAAGAAGTTAGCGAAGACAAAGAGAATAGAGCGAAATATAATTTTGGACAGTGGAAATCAGATGAACACGCGTTATCAGACAGAGAAAGCAAAACCCTATATTTTCAGGGGGTAAAACAGAACCACTCCAATTCATGCCACAGAACCCTCAAAAAACTTAGAAACTACCAGCACCTTCGGAATGAGGAGTGGTGGAGGCAGAGAAGGAAATGGGCTAAAATAAGGAGGAATTAAGAGGTGTGTATTTGAGAAGCAGTTAAGCCCCTCACTCCAGCAGAGATCTAGGGGATAATTATCCAGAAAAGGTTAATGCAGAATTCATTTCATACCAGAGGCCAAAGGCACAGCTGGTTCCTCTTCCTCATTTCATTCAGTTCTGAGACCTTTAAATAGGAATTACTAGCTCTACCTTCCTAAAAAAGTCTCCTGTTCACTCTCCTCCCCTACCTCCATCACTCCTTAATCCCACTTTATTCTTCAGACTGCAATACAGCAAAGACCTCATCTGCCTTCCTACCCACTGAGATGCCAAGACCCAGAAAAATGCTCAGTACATACATAGAAGGTGCTCAGTCTAACGGAATGGTTATCACCACCACATGATATTCATCAATAGCTAGCAATTCCTAGAAATGACTTTATTATATTTTAATACCTAATCCAAGGTTTTGCTTTTCCAGCCTTCATTTCCTAGCATATGCACAGAGCTTAAATGATAAAAGTTTTTCTTCATACATAATGTATGTCTTCCTCAAACACATACGCAGCACACCCCTCATAATGGTGCCCACATTGTCCTATATCCAAGCTCAACAGATTCAGTTCCCTGAATTTCTCTTCAAATACATACTGGCCCAAAATGAGTTGGGGGAGTGGTAGAGCAGGTAACTGGCGCTCAGGTAAGTGTGGTTGCAAATTCCAGACCTGTGGTGGGGAGAAGACTCCAACAGAAGTTGCTCTCACTCCCAGAATTGACGAAGAAGCCAGAGTGCAGAAGGCGTCCTCAGACGCTAACCATTGTCACACAACCAACTCTGGCTCCAACGGGAAAGGTGGGTAAAGGGAACCTCAAGGAAAGGGAGAGCTCTTTAACCTTAGGGTGCACTTAAAAAACTCAACTCTCACTTGACATTCTGCTGTCTCCTTCCACTCAGTCTCATCTTCATATGGAATCGGAGTAGAAGCAAAGTCATCTATATGACAATTTTACAAACTGCCACGTGACCAATGTTTATATACAGAAAACATGAGCTTAATAGGAGTAGTGCTCACAAGAAAATTAATAGAAGTAGTACTGCTTGGAAGACTACATTTAATTTTTTTTGTAATAAAATAGGCTAAGAAAAGGCTTATAAGGAAAGGCTTTGTTTTTCTTAGAAAGTTTTATTTGTAGACTCTTAAAGACATGGACAGTAAAAGTGATTAAAAAAAAAACTTTTTTCCAACAAATGCTACTGGTTATACAAGGAAAATTTGTAAATTAATGAATTTTAAAGCCTGCTATTGTTGGGCTCTATTTTATCAGATAACTTTGTTTTTAAATACTTTAAATTGCTCTTAGGTTCATTTTCTCATCTGAACTTACCAATGTCATCATCTGTCCTGTCAATGGGGTCCTTCTCCAGGCAGTCTCGCACAATGTCCCTGCTCATCAGAGGGTCCGACGCCCTCTCGATGTCTTCTTCATCATCGTCGTCCTCGGAATCCACTGCTGTTTCCGGCAACCCACTCAGGTCCATATCACCGGCCTCACTTTCTGTGGCCTTAAAACAAACACAAATTTTTTAAAACTATTTTAAGTAAATATTTTGTACCCAAAAGAAATAAGAACAAATCTAGTTTAAAGTATTAATTTTTTTATTATATTAATTTTTCGCTAACAAAGTTACATGTGTTCAACATCAACAAATATTTATGCACCAGGCACTATGTGAAATAATTTACTTCAACAAAAATTTTAGGATTAATAACTTTATCTCAATATTTTTTATTTCTTATCTCAGCTGTCCCATGGCATTTAAAAGACAGTAAAATGACAAAAAAGGTAGTTTATGTTTTCAATCCAATTTTTTAAAGAGAGAATGGCTTAAACTCAATATTTTCTAAAGTTTAACAAAAAGAATTTTAATCACATTTTCAGTTTGTCAGGTACCATTTCCTGAACTAAAATACGTATGTACATTATAAGAAAAACCTAAGGTGAAAAATAATTAAAGACAGAATACCTAATGAAAACAGAGTAACTGAAAATGGAAAACCTAAAGTCTATAGAACAGCTCTCTAAACAAAGCCTTAATAAATACTACTTAATAAATACCATTATGAGCAGAGGTGTTCCAGCTGGGAGAACAATAAGGCCTGTGGCCAAGGCAGAATCAACTGTGGCACGCTCAGAAACACATCACCTAATTTAAATTCAGAATTCACAGAATTGTCTGAATTCTAGAATGAAACTGAAGCAGAACCTGATGTGATATAGTATGGCAAGAATGTGCTCAGAAAAACTAGGCCAACATTGTTGTTATTGGCATATTATTTCTGAACTCTAGAAATGTGACAATTTGCTAATGCTTGTTTCTGATTGCATTTTTACCGGTTTCATCTTTACACTGAGGATGATTATTCATCACCACATATATATAAATATATAT